TTTAAAGCAATTTTAATTTGTAGGTCTAAAATGGGACAATGTCACGTGATTTTAGCCTTTAAGTGTCGTGCACTGTAGCAGCTTATGCAGATGACTTAACAGTTAGAATTAGCTCATTAACAGATTGAGATAACTTGACAAACATTATAAACAAATATGAAAAAGCATCTAATGCAAAAATCAACAAACTAAAAACCATACTAGTACTGCTTACAGAGAATACCCAAAGAATCTAGTTAGTAGAGGCCAAACTTCTACAACTGCATGATATGAATAAGCCACTAAAATTCCTCAGATTTGAAACAGATATCACTGGTAACCCATCCAAAGATATCTGGCAAAACTTAAAAAAGAAAATCAAAAAAAGTATAGACCATCTTGTAACACATTACCTATCTTTTAAAGAAAAGATTTTGGTTACCAAATCACTCATAATCTCCAAAATGTAGTATATGGCCTATTTATTACCAACAGCTCAACGAGATTAATACAATTATCTCTAACTAGATTAAAAGCAAATTCAGAATATTACCCAATATTTAATATTTTAGCTTAGTGGTAATCAAGGAAAGCTAGAAGCTCTCATTTTAAGATACAAGACTTGTATTAATATGAATAAAACTTTTATCAAGCAATCACTTTTGGGCCAAATCAGAAAGGAAAATTGTTAACAAAACAATTAAAAATATAAGAAAAAAGACAGTAAGTGAAGTGCTACAAACTAATGACATAAAGCTAAAAGGATAGCTGGACAAATAGAAGCTATACTTGAAAGCATGGATAAGAAATAATAGCATTAAACAATTGGCCTTGGTCTGTGAAAAACCTGATAATTAGAGATCTCACAGCCAATAACTACTTAGTTAAAGGCTATACAGAAACTCTATACAAGGAGCTAACAACAGCACCTACTCTAATACTAGACCCAGAAGATCAAAGTCAGGAACTTGCAATTTGGAAGAAGATTAAATGCATCTAGAACAAGAAGAAGAACATTTTCTGGCAGTTGTTGCATAGGGCATTACCACTAGGCTACAAACTTGACTGTATTTCACAAAACATAGACTTAAACTGCCAAAGTGTTTATATACTGTAATGGTGCGTAATAATACACATGCACGTTATTTTGAAACATGCCTTTTTTTGAAAATTGCATTTTTGACTCAAAATAACATATATGCATGTTCCAAAATAATGTGCCCCTTATATAAGTAGATTATATACAGAATTGGCCAACCCCAAATTTGTCAAAATAATTCAAAATATTATGCATGTGTGTTCTGAAATAACACATAGGGCCTCAAAATAATATGCAGATGCGTATTATTACACACCATTATGATACAACTCAGACTGTAGAGCATTTTTGCACTCAGATGCAGAATTAGTAAAATAATCTGGGAACAAGGTTACAAGCTACTTAAAACCTAGACAGAAAACTTACAACCAAACTCTTTTAAAGAAGTTTTTCTAGCTACAAATATACAAGATCAATAGAAATGTAAGACAGCTATATGGGTATATATACACATAGTGTATGAAATCTGGCTTTGGTATATACAAGCTAGGTGGGTGGTAATACAGTTCTAGAAAGCATTATTGGTAGTATAGTTAACAAAAGACTTTGAAAAAAATTACATATACTAAAAACTATACAAAGGGAAGAGATTACTTCGCCCTTAAAAAGATTGTAAAATTTATTAATTTTAATAACTAGATGTATTATAGTATTTTAATAAAGTACACTTAAATGTGAGTTTTTTTTAAAAAAAAAAAAAAAAAAAAAAAAAAAAAAATTACAAGTAGGGGCATGCCTTAGTCCAGTGTTGTTATTCAGACCAACTAAACTTAGACAGGACTTGAGCCAAACTCAAACTCAGACAACCAAGTATATTTGTTGAACAAACTTAATTTTCAGCCAATAATATTTACTTGTATCAATCTATTGCTATGATTTAAATTTTAAACTCATGGCCTGGCTATAATTTGTTAGTACCAAAAGCCCAAATAACCTGAAGCCACAATATTGTAGGGCTCTTAGGTGGCAAACATAAATCAATCTGGTGAGTTAAGGCTTAGAGATATAGGATAATATTTGGTACAACTATTGCGAGAAGTATTTGGAACAATAATTGTAGACAATATTTGGTGGCTATCTAATGTGGGTTGTGAATATTCCAAAAATTAATTGCTAAAAAAATAAGCCTAAGATTAAAGATAGCACTGTAGCTCTTAGGTATTTAAGGCCTGGGTTTCCATCTTAGTATAGTTTTCTCAAGCAAGATTTTATTGAACTGTTAGTCTCAAACAATTATGTCTTAATAACCTTCAATGTCTTAATTATATAGTTTATATTAAAAATCAGATTTCCTATTTCCCTTTGTATTTTAAGTTATATATTAGTTATTAGTTAAGTTTATTTCCTTTATTGTTGTTTATTTCTTTATTATTGTTGTCTTGTATTTTTTATTGTATAACATCATATCATGTATATAATGTTACAAATCCTGAACCAGAACCACCTAGTTAACCATCCAATTGATAGTAACACTTTTTATATATTTTATAATTTGAAATTAGCAGGATACTTGAAAATTTGCTTGTTTTCTAAAACCTTTAGTTTAATCTTGTAAATTATTTAACTTTTGGAAACCATGTTACTGTCTTCAGAACTTTGGTCTGAAATAGCAATGTGATTTTTTGGAGAATTAGATAATTTATAAGATAAAAACTAAAAGGTTTCAGAAAATGAACAAATTTTTCAAGTGTTCCACTTATTTGTGCTAATATGTTTAAATTCATTATTTGTATTATTTCATGAGCACTATGGCTTTTGACAAGGTTATTCAACTGGTCTATAACAACTCTATGTTATATGACTTGGATTATTTTTTCTAATATGCATATACTAATCTCTGAATCAGAATAACAATTGGTTTCTTTTTTTTTTTAGCGGGAGTACTGAGATTTAGTTTTTGAATATAAGGTTTCGTCATTTTAAGTTAAAGTTTTGACTTTTATTAGAAGAATTTGGGGTTTCAACTTTCATCAGAAGTTTCATCTTTCATCATCATGTAATAAAGGTTTCATATAACAACTATAAGACAGTAATGGATAGAAGTAAAGAAAAAAACAGAATGATTAATGAAGTGTATTAACTAAATTAAATCTAATAATAGATAAAAAAAAAAAGTTATATGATCTTGAATAATAATAATGTACAGAATTTTTTTAATTTTCTTTTATTTAATATTTTTTATTATTTTTCTTATTTGGGTTTAGTTTGGGAGCAATTAGTGTGCATATTGAAGCCTATAACTTATGCAGGCAGTTAAAAGCTCCCAAGAGAAGTAAATAGCTTCTAGACGGAGAGAAAGACTCCTAGAGAGAGTTTAAAACTTCAGGCTAAATTTACAAACATATAAGAGTGCAGTTTCAGTCTGCGAAGGGAATAGCGGTTATAAAAGCAATTGTTAATAGTATTTAGTACTATTGTAATATTCAGATTATTGATTTATAGTAATAAGAAGAATATTAAATCTGTAATTATGTTAGTTTACCATTTAAAATTAATTTCTATTTGTGCTAAATTGATTCAAGATCCTATCAAGCTTCCACCAATCATAACAGTGGAATCTGTTGATAGTAAATTTTATTTTTTTAGTTTAGCACCCAAGGAATAGATAGCAGAGTAATTGATTGATAATATCTAAAATTTAAGAATCATCAAACATATTTGAAAATATTTAAGTTTGAATATATCCAGGTCTGAGATATATTACCCAGACATTGTCCAAGTAACAATAAATTTATTTAGAGATAATTCAGACTGTGACTTCAGACAGTATCCAAAAATGTCTAGTTCACCATATTTGACTCAAACAAAAATAGACAATACTGTCTTAGTCATGTGATATACTTTACAGAAATTAGCTATTTTTTTCAATGGAGTAGAGGCCTGCATTGGGTTCCAAAGCCTGGCCCGGCCCGGGCCTGCCCAGCCCGGTGTGCGGGCCTAAAAAAATTTTTTATAATTGCAGGCCAAGCCAGGCCGAAATTTTGAAAAAATTTATATTAAAAATTTGCAGGCCGGGCCAAAACGGACCGGGCTTGACAAAAAATTTTTAACTGCATGCGGGCCTGGGCTAGCAAAAAATTTGTAACCCTAATTGCGGGCTGGGCCTGGGCCTTAAAATTAGGAATTTGCAGGCCTCTACAATAGAGTTAAGATCATCTTAACAATATTAATAAATTTTTTAATAATTATAAGATTATTTTACAATAAATTTTTAG